CCCTTTTTATTACTGAGTAATGAAAGCAAATGCGAAGTGACCTTTTGGCGCCATGCAACCCGGGCCGGTGGACGAGGAATGGCGGAAATGGAGTGGGGATTAGGGTGGCGGAGGAAAGGGAGGGAGGGAGGGAGGGAAGGGAGGGAGGAGAGGAAAAGAAGGGAGGGAGGGAAGGGAGCGAGGGAAGAGAGGAAAAGGAGGAAAGGGAGGGAGGGAGGAGAGGAAAAGAAGGGAGGAAGGGAAGGGAGGAGAGGAGAAAGAGGGAGGAGAGGAAAAGGAGGGTGGGAGGAGAGGGAGGAAGGAAAGGGAGGAAGGGAGGAGAGGAAAAGGAGGGAGGGAGGGAAGGGAGGAGACGAGGAGGGAGGGAGGGAAGGGAGGAGAGGAGAAGGAGGGAGGAAGGGAAGGGAGGAGAGGAGAAAGAGGGAGGAGAGGAAAAGGAGGGTGGGAGGAGAGGGAGCGAGGAAGGAGAGGAAAAGGAGGGAGGGAGGGAAGGGAGGAGAGGAAAAGAAGGGAGGAAGGGAAGGGAGGAGAGGAAAAGGAGGGTGGGAGGAGAGGGAGCGAGGAAGGAGAGGAAAAGGAGGGAGGGAGGAAAGAGAGGGAGGAGAGGAACAGGAGCGAGGGAGGAAGGAAAGGGAGGCAGGGAGTGAGGGGGGAAAAGATTGGAGGGAGGGAGAGGGTTAAGGCGGAAGATACAAACAAGAAGGTAAAGAGGAGACGGAGATGCAAAGTAGGAGTGAAGGAGAGAAGAAGAGAGAAGGAGAGGGATTGAGAGGAAGGAGATAGTGAATGCTGAGGGCGAGAGAAAAAGGGAGAGGGAGAGAAAGGGGGTGGGGTAGGTAAAAAGGGTAAAAGTCGATACAAAAGAGAAGGAAACGAAAGAAAGGGGGGGGAGAAAGCGATTAAAAAGGAAAGAGAGAGAGAGAGAGAGAGAGAGAGAGAGAGAGAGAGAGAGAGAGAGAGAGAGAGAGAGAGAGAGAGAGAAGGGGAAGGAGAGTGGAGACGGAAAAAGAAGTTATAAAATAGGAATAAAGGACGCTGAGAGAAGGAATGGAAGGAGAGAAAGAAAGGAAACAGAGAGAAGCCGACTGGCTGACATTGACAAACAGAAAAAAGGGATAAGGGAGGGAGGGAATCAGAAGGGGAAACCGTGTCAAATTTGAATATACACCAAATGGAAAGGGGAAAAAAAATATGTGGAGAACATAATCATGGAAACAGTTTAAAAGAATCTTTTGTAATGAGCGAAACTCGAGGGGAGGGGAGGGGGGGGGTAGTATCGTGGGCGTGTTGCAGAGGATGCAGTCGCTTTCCAGATAATGTGTCAGGCCCGCAGTCCTCTTAATGCTGCGACTGTTTCTCTCGCTCTCTCTCTCTTTCCTTCCTCCCTCCCTCCCTCCCTCCCTCCCTCCCTCCCTCCCTCCCTCCCTCCCTCCCTCCCTCCCTCCCCCCCTCTCCCTCTTTCTCTTCTCTCTCTCTTCTCTCTCTCTTCTCTTTCTCTTCTGTTTCTTTCTCTTCTGTCTCTCTCTCTTCTGTCTCTCTCTTCTCTCTCTCTCTCCTCTCTCTCTCTCCTCTCTCTCTCTCTCTCTCTCTCCTCTCTCTCTCTCCTCTCTCTCTCTCTCTCTCTCTCTCTCTCCTCTCTCTCCTCTCTCTCTCTCTCTCTCCTCTCTCTCTCTCCTCTCTCTCTCTCCTCTTTCCTCTCTCCTCTTTCCTCTCTCCTCTCTCTCTCTCTCTCCTCTCTCTCTCTCTCTCTCTCTCTCTCTCTCTCTCTCTCTCTCTCTCTCTCCTCTCTCTCTCCTCTCTCTCTCTCTCTCTCTCCTCTCTCTCCTCTCTTTCTCTTTCTTTCGCTCTCGTTCTCTTTCACATTCTTTTTCTCCTTTTTCCTCCCTCCTTTACTTCTGTTCATCCACTTTCACCCCTCTTCTCACTTTTTTCCCCTCCCCTCCCTCTTCCTTTCTTCTGCTTCATCTTCTCCCTCTTTGTCATACTCTTTTTCAACCCTTAACTCCGCATTCCCCCCTCCCTCTGTCTCGCCTCATACTACCCCTTCCCCTTCCCCCTCCCTTCCTACACCCCTTCCCCCTCCCTTCCTACACTCCTCCCCCCTCCCTTCCTCCATTCCTTCCCCCTCCCTTCCTCCACCCCTTCCATCTCTCCTTCCTCCACCCCTTCCCCTTCCCTCTCTCCTTCCTCCACCCCTTCCCCTTCCCTCTCTCCTTCCTCCTCCCCTTCCTCCTCCCCTTCCTCCTCCCCTTCCTCCTCTCTCCCCTGCTTCCTTTGTCTTCGTCTCCATGAACGAGCAGCCAAACCTGACCCGCAGCGTCGGCTAGCAACCAAGCAGCCAACCAGACTAACCAAGAACGAACGAGGCAGAGAACGAACCACCGAGAAAGCGGTAGAGAACGAACGTGCATGCGAGCAACTAAGAGAGCAACCGTGAAGAACGAGTGAGCCAGCGAAAGAACGAGCAAGCGAGCGAGCACGTTGCATGGCGTTGGCACTTCCTCTCCCCCCCCCCCTTCCCCTCCCCACCACCACCACCCCCTTCTCCAAAGCGACCCCTCTGACCTTGAGCCCTAGAGAGGTGGGGAGGGGATGCAACACAGCACGAGCCCAGTCATCGATCCCGGGTCGGCCTGATGGGTCACGGAAAGGAGGCTGGAAAGAGGGGAGAGAGATGGGTAGTGGGGAGAGGGAGAGGGAGAAAGAGAGAGGGAGAGGGAAAAAGAGAGAGGGGGAGGGAAAAAGAGAGAGGGAGAGGGAAAAAGAGAGAGGGAGAGGGAAAAAGAGAGAGGGAGAGGGAAAAAGAGAGAGGGGGAGGGAAAAAGAGAGAGGGAGAGGGAGAAAGAGAGAGGGAGAGGGAAAAAGAGAGAGGGAGAGGGAAAAAGAGAGAGGGGGAGGGAGAAAGAGAGAGGGAGAGGGAAAAAGAGAGAGGGGGAGGGAAAAAGAGAGAGGGAGAGGGAAAAAGAGAGAGGGAGAGGGAAAAAGAGAGAGGGAGAGGGAAAAAGAGAGAGGGAGAGGGAGAAAGAGAGAGGGAGAGGGAAAAAGAGAGAGGGAGAGGGAAAAAGAGTGAGGGAGAGGGAAAAAGAGAGAGGGAGAGGGAAAAAGAGAGAGGGAGAGGGAAAAAGAGAGAGGGAGAGGGAAAAAGAGAGAGGGAGAGGGAAAAAGAGTGAGGGAGAGGGAAAAAGAGTGAGGGAGAGGGAAAAAGAGTGAGGGAGAGGGAAAAAGAGAGAGAAAGGGAAAGAGAGAGGGGGGGGGAGAAAGAGAGAGGGAGAGGGAAAAAGAGAGAGGGAGAGGGAAAAAGAGTGAGGGAGAGGGAAAAAGAGAGAGGGAGAGGGAAAAAGAGAGAGGGAGAGGGAAAAAGAGAGAGGGAGAGGGAAAAAGAGAGAGGGAGAGGGAGAAAAGAGAGAGGGAGAGGGAAAAAGAGAGAGGGAGAGGGAAAAAGAGTGAGGGAGAGGGAAAAAGAGAGAGGGAGAGGGAAAAAGAGAGAGGGAGAGGGAAAAAGAGAGAGGGAGAGGGAAAAAGAGTGAGGGAGAGGGAAAAAGAGAGAGGGAGAGGGAAAAAGAGAGAGGGAGAGGGAAAAAGAGTGAGGGAGAGGGAAAAAGAGAGAGGGAGAGGGAGAAAGAGAGAGGGAGAGGGAAAAAGAGAGAGGGAGAGGGAGAAAGAGAGAGGGAGAGGGAAAAAGAGAGAGGGAGAGGGAGAAAGAGTGAGGGATAGTGAAAAAGAGAGAGAAAGGGAAAAAGAGAGATGGATAGTGAAAAAGAGAGAGAAAGGGAAAAAGAGAGATGGATAGTGAAAAAGAGAGAGAAAGGGAAAGAGAGAGAGGGGGGGAGAAAGACAGGGGGAGAGGATATTGCTCCAATCAGCCTACAATACCGACTGTTGTTCCCCCCCACCCCCCTTTTTTATCTTCAGTGCCCACTTCTCCTTGATCTCAATCGCCCGTCATACAATTTCAGTGCTTTCTTTCTTAGGAAATCTTTAAAAAAGACAGAGGGGTCTTTGATGCCCGAATCAAAAGGGGACATCACTCATGAACTTTATGACAGGATTTTATGAGGGATGAAGAGGCAGAGGGGGTGTTTGTCAACAGACTTTGTGGAAAGGAGATCGAGACAGAGATGTAGAAACGAGAAAATGAGAGATAGAGAGGAAGATAGAGAGGGAGAGGGAGAGGGAGGGGGAGAGAGAGAGAGAGAGAGATGGAAAGAGAGTAAGGGAAAGAGAGAGAGAGAGAGAGAGAGAGAGAGAGAGAGAGAGAGAGAGAGAGAGAGAGAGAGAGAGATGGAAAGAGAGTAAGGGAAAGAGAGAGAGAGAGAGAGAGAGAGAGAGAGAGAGAGAGAGAGAGAGAGAGAGAGAGAGAGAGAGAGAGAGAGAGAGATAGTGAGGGAAAGAGAGAGATAGAGATAGTAAGGGAAAGAGAGAGAGAGAGAGAGATAGTGAGGGAAAGAGAGAGAGAGAGAGTGTTAGTGAGGGAAAGAGAGAGAGAGTTAGTGAGGGAAAGAGAGAGAGAGATAGTGAGGGAAAGAGAGAGAGAGAGTTAGTGAGGGAAAGAGAGAGAGAGAGTTAGTGAGGGAAAGAGAGAGAGAGATAGTGAGGGAAAGAGAGAGAGAGAGAGATAGTGAGGGAAAGAGAGAGAGAGAGAGGAGGAAGAGAGAGAGAGATAGTGAGGAAGAGAGAGAGATAGTGAGGGAAAGAGAGAGAGAGAGATAGTGAGGGAAAGAGAGAGAGAGAGAGTTAGTGAGGGAAAGAGAGAGAGAGAGAGTTAGTGAGGGAAAGAGAGAAAGAGAGTAAGTGAGGGAAAGAGAGTGTGAGTTAGTGAAGGAGAGAGAGAGAGAGAGAGAGAGATGGGGTAGGAGGGAGAAAGGGTAATAGAGAGAGGAGAGTGAAGGAAAGAGAGTGAGAGTGAGGAAAAGAGAGAGAGAGAGAAAGGGAGAGGGATAACCTCAAATTCACCTTTCTCTGCCTTGCTTGTAACCACTCCCTTTTTGGTTTTTCTGCAGGTATGTGCCAGTGAGATTATGGGGCAGCAGCGGCCATCTTCAGACTATTGTACACGCGACTGTAGGAAGGACCTACTGCCCAACTGTCATGGCCAAGAGGTTTGCTGCCCGACAGGAAGATGGAGCCACTGTTACTTGGGATGTGTATGAGCCTACCGGGCCATCGCAGTTTGATGGTGAGTGGATGGACCTTCTATCTGTTGACTGTAGTGACTGGAAGGAAACTGTGTGTGTGTGTGTGTGTGTGTGTGTGTGTGTGTGTGTGTGTGTGTGTGTGTGTGTGTGTGCGCACGCATGATGAAACTTTATATGAACACTGCTAATTGGAATATATTTTAACCCTAACAAATAGTTGTTCTTAGATCAGTAGTGTAGACACTTCACCATAATTTTCTATCTTAATTGTCCAATGATGTGTTGTGTAAGAATACTCCTATGCACTCACAATAACCCCACCGTTCACGAAGGTGAGACAAGAATTACTCTTTTGTGAAATTCTGAGATATAACTTATACCTTTACATTTTGCTTTAATTAGATCAGATATAGAGATATTGACAGAGAATATATATTTTCATCATAATTAATTCCCAACCCTTTCCAGAGGACATGACCATCGCTGTGTGTCCTGGCATCGCAAACAGCAGTGAGAGCACCTATGTCAGATCGCTGGTGTCACTTGCTTGCTCACAGGGCTACCGCTGCATTGTGCTTAATCACCTGGGAGTTCTGCCACACGTCAAGATCACGAGCCCCAGAGTGTTTCGCTATGGTGAGTGGGCTGAAGGGTGAAATGAGAAGGTACACACATTGTGCTGTGAGAAATTATTTACTAGATCAGAGTGAGATGTTCTGTATAAGCTTCCTTAGCTTTTCCTCCTCTTTTTCCTTCCTCATGACTTTTCTTCCTTTCTTTTTTTTTATTTTTTCTTTCTTTTTTCCTTCCTTCTCTCTTATTGATTTTTCCATTATTCACATTCCCCATCAGCTTTTAACCCACTTCTTTTTTCTTCCTTCACTGATATTTCTTCCATACTCATCATTTCTACAGGCCTTTTTCTTCTCTTTCTTCTTCTTCCTCATCTTTGTTAATTAATCAATTCATTTCCCATTCTAAGCATGGCAAATCTTACATGCAAGTCCCTCATTGCAGGCCAAACTGACGAGTTCCACCTGATGCTGATGAAGTACCTGGAAGTCCACCCTGACACCAAGCTCTTGTTGGTGGGCTTCAGCATGGGGGGTAACATTGTCACAAAATACCTAGGGGAGCCAGGTAGAGCCAGGCCAGGTAACATTGTAGGAGCCATCTCCATCTGCCAGGGATATGATGCCGTAAAGTAAGTGTGCAGGATGTTCTGTTTTTATCATCTTTTCTTTTCTTTTCTTTTTTTCTTTTTTGATGTTTTGAACTTTGAGATTTATGTATGTAATTTTTTTTTTCTTTTTTTTTTTCTTTTCTTATTCATCTTCTTCTTCTTCTCTCATTCTTTTTTATGCTGCTTGTGTGTGTTTGTGATTTTATAAACATTATAGAGAGTGGATTTGAAATGAATTATTGCTGTGGAAAATATCTTTTACCCATATTCTTTTAATTCTAAAGACACAGTTTTCAAATTTGGAAGTAGAGACATCTTCATATGGTATGGTTAAACATTATCCTATAGTATTTACAGTGTTATGGTGTTTGTAGAAATATAAACATTTGAAACATCTTTTTTGAATTGCCATGGATACCAGAATTTGACATCTTTGAAGAAGAAATATAAGTCAATTAATACAGAATGACTATACTTTTTTTTTTTTCTTTTTTTTTTCTCATATATATAAATATATATATTTTTTTGTTTTTGTTTTTGTTTTTCAGACTTATATTTAAAGTATTTGTATCCATTGAACTCAGTTTCCCCATTTTTTAATATATGCATTTTTGCCGTCTATGCAAACAGGAGTCTAAAGTACCTCCTTGAGTGGCACAACCTCGCCCGAATCTACCTGTTCTCCATGACTGAGAACATGCGCTCCGTTATCATACGCCACAAGGAGGCCCTCTTCACTGAAGAGGTTAAGCGGAAATGTAACATTGAGGAGCGGCGAGTCCTTTCTGCCGCCACCTTACCGGAGCTTGATGAAGTATACACCAGGTTGGTCATAAGGGACTTGCTAGATATTATTGGTTTTACTTTTTAATTTTATTCATTAATTTTTAAAGAAATTGAACTGGGAATTTGCTAGGGATAGAGGAAGTTCTACAGGAGGTGTGACAGTAGGATGAAAATGAATGCTTAGTTCCAAGTGTTGCTGGCAGTGGTTCAACAAGAAGAGAATATCTTACAATGATGTATTTCATAATTTGTTACCTTTATTAACAGTTTGTTATGTATTCCATGACTTTAAATTTTTGTGTTTTCTAGTTTTCTTTGAGATTTTGTGTTCATAATCAGTCCCTCTCATGTCCCCTTCACAAGATATGTATATATATATATATATATATATATATATATATATATATATATATATATATATATATATATATATATATATATATATATATATATATATATATATTCAGTATATTTATTTATATAACTTAACAAGTGATCCATTCTTCAACAGGCGCATCTTTGGGTTCAGGAGTGTGGAGGAGCTGTACCGCAATGACAGCTCAGCCAGCTACATGCACAACATCCACATTCCAATTGTGTTTATTAATGCTCGTGATGATCCCTTGGTCCACCCTGACTTGTTAGGCATACCAGAGGCATTTGTCAGTAAGTAAAGAATAGATGTAATGATAATTAATCTGTTTTTAGTTCTTGTTGCCATATTCTCTTTCTTTGTTTTTCTCTTCCTCTTTTTCGTAGTAAATATAAAATCAGATGGACTGCAAACTTTTTCTTTCTTTTCTTTATAATGAATGTGAAAATATATATACTTTTAGATTTTACCCCTGTCCATTGCCTTATTAGATGTAAACATGTAAAGATACATGTAGTATAGCTTTGAGGAAAAAAGGTTTGCTTAGTAGGTTAAAAATAATTACTAAAAGCAGAGATACTATTATATATATATTAATGGTCCTTCTCTTTACTAATAACTACTGTTTTCTTCCCCACCTTCAACACAGAGACTCATAGTAACTCCCTCTACATAGAAACGGACCATGGTGGCCACCTGGGTTACTATGATGGCGGATATGTCATGCCCCAAGCAGTCACATGGCTTGACAGAACAGTTGTATCCCTTGTCACAGCGCTGGCAAACAACCAGTAAGGTTGCAGGTGGTAGTATATTTTTGAAAGTGTTCTAGAACCTTCATGAAGAAGGAAAGTTCCACAAATTTATATGTGTGCATGTATGTGTGTAGAAGCCATGCAGGTCAATATATATATACATGAATCTGTTTGCATACACACGATATATTATGTATTGCTCTCTATCATGTGTCTCCCAGATGATATAAACTATGAATTAGATTAAAAATAATAGAAGACAGATGAAGGTGTGATTAAGCATATAATTTGTAATGAATAGTTCTTAGTCCAGATACCTAGTGAAAAGATATTGTTATAAATGTTTGGGACAGTGTGCGCAAATATTTGATATAAATGTGATATTGTAGCACAATTTCTGCTCAACTTTGGACAATAATAAGATATAGATAGGATACTAAGATAGATTTTATATAATTTTATTTACTTTAGTCATATAAAAAAAAAACTTTTTATGAACACATGAAATTTGTTTTTTATTTAAAGAAAGTAATTTATGCACAAGAAATTTGGATTACAACATTTATAAAGATAAATGAATATGTAATGGACAGAGAAAATATTAATTTATCTCAAAATAACCTATACTGCATTTACTCTGTCTTAATCAAAAGAAGGATGGTGAAAAGAACTATGTTAAATAGCAAACAATAGAAAAAATCTTGAAAATGTTTCTAATCAGTTGTAGTAATGAAACATTCTTAAAACAATGTCTGTGCCATTTAATGTTTCTTAAATCATGGGAGACTTTTTCTTTCTTTCTTTTTCTGGTTACCTTCATTTTCATTTACTTTTCCATTATCATGATGTTGAGAAAAAAATTGTTTTGTTTTGGAATTCTTAGTTTGATTTATATTACAGAAATTTCACTCACACATGCACATGCACACGCACAAGTACATACACACCCACACACACACTCAATAAAATAAGCACAAACACTCACACTCACACTCACGTATCCTCATCCTAATCTTCAATCACACTCACTATCATTCTCACTTTCAGGGACTCACGCTCATTCATTCAAACTCACTCAGACATTCATTCATTCACATTATCTCTCTCTCTCTCTCTTTCTCTCTCTCTCTCTCTCTCTCTCTCTCTCTCTCTCTCTCTCTCTCTCTCTCTCTCTCTCTCTCTCTCTCTCTCTCTCTCTCTCTCTCTCTCTCTCTTTCCTCTGCTGATTTAAGATTTCGGTATATTTATGTTGGTTACTGTTATTTGGAATACATTTGTTGAGCTTTTGATGTTTTAGTTAAGCAGTTTTGAGCAAACCTTTTGTATTTTTTACAGTCAGTCTGCGACACCAGTCTTTTGGGTAAAGTTTCAGACTTAATGATTCATATATTATTAAAGGGGAATAGTCACTTTGCTCCATGACTGCACAATATACAGGGTTTGATGATAAGTTGATAGTTGGCAGGGCTTTGTAATAGTGTTAGAGAACTAAAGTGAGAATGGATACTACAGGCTAATGCCACATCATTTATCTGTCTTATAGTGAGAGAAATGTTTTGGTGCTTTTAAGTATATCAGCATGCTGGATCTCTGTCAGAGTTGAATGTGGGCCTTATTGAAGTGGCAATGTGTCTTCAACTTTAATCATTTGAATCTGTAAACTAGGATGATGAGAAAAGCTTGAATAAGTTGGCAAAAGTACATTACCCAATTTAATGTTGACATTACTTACAATATTCAACCACTTGGACTGTAGCAGTTTGGTAATGCTGTACAAAGCACAGTAAAAATGTAAGGTAGGGTTAGTAACCCAAAGTTAAGCCAGGGAAGGCGATGTTTGGTCGATGCAAAATGGCAGCATTCATTCACTTTTGCTCATGATGAGCCTTCTTCATTCCAGTTTTTTAAGAGGTTGCTATGCAGAGAAACCTGTCAGATGCCTGCTATTTTCTCACAAGGATGCTGTTTGTATCACTGAAAAATAAGAGTTAAAACATATTTTTCAAGTTGTACTTACAATGTGTTTGTATTTAGAAATTTATTTTCTTATATTTCTTTTCAACAAGAAAGTCACTATATATATATAAGTATTCTCAAAGAGTGTGAGAAAAAGTTATAGATTTATGGAAAAAGATGAAAAGACTTTGATTGCTCTGTGCTTGCTTATGTGATACTGCGCCTAAGTTGAATTGCAGTTGTACATAAGTTGTATGTAATAACCTCACATGTATGATAGTATATAGGATGATTGCACTGCAGTTATTTAACACTATTAAGTCATTTAACTTAAAATTTGCATAGGCTATAGTTTCAGAGCTAGTATTTTTATATTTCTTCTTTAATATATATATATATATATATATATATATATATATATATATATATATATATGTATGTATGTATGTATGTATGTATGTATGTATGTATGTATGTATGTATGTATGTATGTATGTATGTATGTATGTATGTATGTATGTATGTATGTATTGTATATGTATGTATGTATTATATATGCATATATTATATGTATATGATATAGGTATATATATTATATATATATATTATTTATATATATATATATATATATATATATATATATATATATATATATATATATATATATATATACTATGGATATAAAATTTCTTGTACATTATCTCTCTGTATCAGAACTGAATCGAAAATTTGTAATAGTGATAGAGATTATTTTTTTATCTATTTATTTATTTGTTTCTCACTCTCTCAGAAGAATGTATGCAAGTCTGAAATTCAGTGTGTTTGCATCAGCTTTGTTTTTCACCCAGAGTATGACTCTATTTTTTTCATAAGGCACACATACTGAGGTCCCATTATACATTCCTTGAAGAATTAACATTGCATTCTCTTTTTTTTTTTTTTTTTTTTTATCTAGAGAGGATTCATTCCAGTATTTTTGCTTACTTCTATTCCATGAGAAAGAGCAAATATTTCAATACAAGAAAACATATGTTACTTTTTCTGAATGGTTGCAAACTTAACTCTTTCTATCCCAGACACCCTGTAACATGGCATTAGCAACTGTATACAGTAACCTTGGATATAAGGGTTAAATGTTATATATGGCATGATCATTTATTTCTTCTTTTTTCTGAGTCTTACCTAAATTATTATGCTCCTATCTCTTTGTTATTCACTGGCTATAGTTGAAGCATTTGTAAAATGCCTCAATATTGTGAGCAGTTGAAAAGATAATTATTTATTGACTTAAAATTTATGCAGGGTAGTTTCTACTTGCCATATTATATAGAATAGTGACTTTTTGATGTCTTTATATCACCAGTCATTTTAGTTTTTTTCACAACAGATGCTGCTGATAAGCAGCAATTAGACAATCTATTAAATGAATGCATAAAAAAAATTCAAATGGCGATGGAGAGATTCAGTAGAAGGCTTGGTGTAAATACTGATATAAAAGGCAATAATTGTGGATCCTGAAATAATATTTAACCAGAGTAAGGGTTATTATAACATAATGCACAAATGCGTTTTAATGTGTGTGAATGTGCTTGTTTCTGTATGTATGTGCAAGTCTGTGTACATGTCTATAAAAATGCTGTCATTATACAAGACTGTGATGAGGTTTTAGTCTTTGTGGGAAATGTTGCTGGTAAGATTACTATTCTTGCTCCCATATTTAGTATGATAGCAAGTGCCAGTACTGTCATCCACTTCTTTATTAATTAAAAATTATAAACCAAAAGATTCTGCTTGCTTGTTAGAACACTTGTAAGCATGAGATAAAGAAAAATAACAAGCCAAAGCACTAGCAACTGATTGCACAATAGCATTCTTTATTGTTTATCAAGTCAGAAGATATTTATTTCCAATTTTATTGAACCAATGGGTAAATATTTGAAACTTTGTCAATGTGTTGGAAAAAAGAAATGCCAGATTACTGTGAAGACCTGTGTAATCCTGTACATAACTGCTTTAATTTATGTAAAGGATTATATTAGAGAAGTATTGCTGATAAAACACTGCATCAAAAATTTATACAATTTTCCCAGCTAGTACAGGGAGATGGCAAAATCCATCCATAACTACTATGCTGTTATTATTTCCTAGTCATGTACTTTGGTATTCCAGTAATAGAAAACAAACTTTTTCTTCATTAGGAATAGGTGTTATTTTGGCACAATAACTGTCAAATATACATTTTGAATTTAATGTATTAATTTATTTGGTTCTTTTTTTGTTTTGTTTTATGAAGTCAGTATTCACTTTTTTCATTCTTTCTACTTTTATATTCTATATTTTGTATGAAAGGAAAAGTAAACTTGTTACCAAAGCATTATGTACTTTAATTTCATTGGACAAACCCGCTGATTAAAAAAGAGACCTATTTGTTTGTTTTATAAATATCAAGTAAAACTATGATATGAAATTCATTATTTGTTGGGCATTTGATGTAATCAGATACAATAAAAAAGACTTTAAATTAATTTTGTTTAATTTTACCTTGCCTTATGAACTTTTTGTGACCGTTGATGTTTTTTCAACCTTCTAGATAGAGTTAAGGGTATATCATGTACTGTCTATTATCAGAAAAAATAGTGAAAACATTAATTAAAGTGTAGCTATTTATCTTTATATTCTCACAAAGACAAGACAATTTGGGGTTACAAAGTGAATTCTTGCAGACAGGGAAGAGGAGGAAAAACTCTGTTGCAACTCTCTCTGGTAACTGATACAAAGAGATACTTATATGGCACCTAAGAGCATAAAAAGTTTATAAGCTTACAGAGCTTCATTGCCCTCCCAACATATGTTTCATTTGTCAATATGACATCATATTTCCCATGTTGAAACACAGGCCAAACAATTCATAATTAATTACCATACAGTATGTTTAAATCTAATACATACAGCATCTTTGCTTGTAGAGAGCATGAACAGGAGATTCCTTTTGGCCTTAACAGATAATGAAGATAGATGAAGAATTTGAAAAAAGAAGAAAGTAGAAAGTATCTATGATCAATAATATGTCATTCTAGAGCAAGTTCCTTTTTATCTTCTTGAACTACTTATATTTATGTTATATCCAAAAATGTGTGGTTACATAAAACCATGGATGCTGAGGAAATAAAGTTTGTTCATCTCTGTTTAGTAACACGAAAAAAGTGAAAATCCAAAGAAAACTGTTCTAGTTCTGGATCCCTGACTTTACAGAAAGTACACACAATATCCGTGAAGACCTTGTGTGTGACCTTGCACCTAGCTGCCATGAGAAGCTACAGCATATGAAACACACCAGTAATTGGATAAAAAATATTCAGAATACCTTCACATGACTGATCACAACAAGATTGGTGTCGATGGATTCCTTCCACTCTCTATTACTCAATATAGATATATGCATCAGAAACCACTTAATTCCTAGAATTTTGGTCCCGATAGCAGGGAAGGGCTTAAATGGTACCAGGGAAATTGGGGGATAAATTACGTATAATAAACAAAGAATTAATCAATATATAGTCAAATGTCCAGAACAACAAAAAATGCATCAGACTGATGGAGCATCAGACAGACTCGGCATCGCGAAGTCCCGCATGCCGGTTGTATGCTCTACCCTGCTGTGAATACGTGGAGTATTCCTTGTCATCCAGAGCGGGGTTAGTGGGCGTCAGCTCCTCAAGAGGGGATGATGCAGAGGACAGACCTCCCTGCATTAAAGAATATAATGGCTTATACTGTGTATATTATTATTATAATGACGTATTTCGTGTAAATTATTAATATTTTATACCGTAATTTCCCTGATACCTTCCATGCCCTCAACATCTATCGGGACCAAGTGTGTGGGAGTTGGGGGGGAGGGGTGCGGCATAATTTTTATATACTTGTGTACTAGTTGGTGAGAGGAAACCATCCATACCAAGATTCTAAACAGTTACCATATCATGCAGTTTGGAGAAGACTTACGGTATTTTATCCCAGATAACTGTGAATTTGAAATGCTAAACAAAACAAATGGGAGTTCACTACTTCCATATTGCAGGTTCCGCGTGAGCAGCCATCAGCCTTTGACTGGTCTGCATGGAATGTGTTTGGCCTGTGAGTGGTACAGTCCCGAACAGACAAAAATGAAACACCGCCTAAGCCCTAGCACTCGTAATGGGCCCTCTCTGGCTGACTGGCAACTATCCAGACGAGTTGGAGGAAATATGTAAATGGACAGATGGAGGTTCTTTCAATACAAGGTGGAGAACCTAGAGGGTGGGAGGGGGGGGGGTTACACATGTATTTACGCATGGAGTAAGCATTGTGCATACACGGATATATGAGTGCATGTGCGCAGCTCTTAGTACAACTAGGGGCTGTGGGTTCCTTACTTATTGAAGCTGGCTTTTATATTAGGAATAACTAAATATGAAATGACAACAAAAAAGACAACTAGACAGGCTGCGATTTTTTTTTTTTTTTTTTCACTTGTCCAGGAGGACAAGTACACTTGACTATCCACTCGTCCTCTTCTGAATACCACTTGTCTGAAATATTTATATATATATATATATATATATATATATATATAATATATATATATTATAAAGAAATTTATCAACTGTGATATATGAAACTAATATAAATAACTAATATATGAAACTAATATAAACAAATATGGCAGCCTCCATAATCATAGAACTGAAAGGAACTAGACCTTGCTAGATTTCATTAATTTTAGGGAAAAATCTACTGGAAATTTTTACTCGTCCATGCGGACAAGCGAGGTAAACATTTTACTTGTCCTCCATAAGTTTACACAAGTTTACACTCGTCAAAGACGTGCGGACGTGGAATTTTTCGCAGCCTGCTAGATATGTGTGCGCATGTAGATACATGAGTATACATAAATAAATTTTATGTATATGTATGGGTATATATACCTATGTATATATATTTATATATACACATATGTGTGTGTATACATATATATATGTGTGTGTGTGCATATATACATGTGTGTGTATACATATATACATGTATGTGTGCACATATACACGTCTGTGTGTGCAAATGTGCGCACACACACACACACACACACACACACACACACACACACACACACACACACACACACACACTCACACACACACACACACACACACACACACACACACACACACACACACACACACACACACACACACACACAAACACATACATTCATACACAAACACACACACACACACACACACACACACACACACACACACACACACACACACACACACACACACACACACACACACACACACAAACACACACATACATTCAT